AACAGACCCTTAGGGTACTCCACTGCATACTTCCTTCCATGTAGATGCAGTTCCATTGAGGACTACACATTGAGTGCGGTTGATCAGCCAGTTAATCCATCTGGTGGTGATGCTGTCTAACCCACATTCTTCTACTTTATCTAGTAGTAGGTTATGGTCTACCTTATCAAAAGCCTTACTGAAGTCCAAGTAAACTATATCAATGGGATTTCTCTGGTCCACTAATTTTGTCACTTTGTCAAAGAATGCAATAAGATTAGTCTGCATGATCTATTTTTGACAAACCCATGTTGGCTTTTGCTATTACTTTGTTTATATAGGGACCCTTGGCTTAGATTACTTAGAATAGACCTACCCAATTTTGACAAACCCCCTTCCACTGTGATATGATGATTTTAATCTATTCTCAGATGTTTGAAGAAAGGATGGGAAAGAAAGAATGGAATGGTGAAGACTTATTATTTCTCCTCTTTTCTTCCCCCTTTCCCCAGAATCATGTGGTTGTGAATGTGACACACTGCTCATATAGATATATTTGTCTCTTTGATACTCCCTGATAGCCGATTCCAGATTAAAACTGAATCAGGAAGCACATTTCATATTTTTTGCATTATTGTAGAGTGTAGCCCATTTGATGTTTATGGGGTTTAATGGGGATAGTGGTTTCAATTTGGTTTAATTGGGTTATTTTTGTTTTTACTGTTATCTGCATTTTGTTTATTATTCTTTCTGTTTGTTTTAATTACCTACACTGCCCAGAGTCACAAATTTGAAATGTGTAGTAACACAAATTGAATGAATGAATGAATAAGCAAGCAAGAATGGCTAACCAAAATTTGTTTCCAGAAAATGCATAATATGAAAATAGCAACAACCTTGCCTGTGGTTTATTCTTAATTTTATGCTGCTAAATGTTAAGGCACTAAATCATCTGAAACACTTTTCTGTTCTTTGAGTTGGTTTGTCATATTGATTGTCTAAAAACCTCTACGTGAGGATTGTAATGAGATCCTAAAATACTGTGGACTGAAGAATATTTAAGAAAATAAGATTTTTTTGATCTACCAATATATCTAACCTAGAAGGCTGTGATTCTAAATTCTCTGGAAAAAGTCAGTCCTGGTGAAGGCTGTAGTAAGCCCCTCTCCCCCAGTGTTAAACCATACATAACTATTTCTCAAAGACTGTCTGGAAAAGTCCCTGCAGTTTTTTGGCAAGGGTTTTTCAGAAGTGGTTTGCCATTGCCTCTTTCCTATGGCTGAGAGAATGTGACTACCTCAAGGTCATCAAGTTGACCTTGTGCCTAAGGTGGGATTAAAACTCACGGTCTTCTGGTTTTAAGCCTGATGCCTTAACCACTACACCAAACTAATTTCTGTCAGGCTTCTCCCAAGCAGTGCAACAATGATGTTATGGCTGCAGTGTGAGAAAAATGTTGCAATGCCTGTTTCAGTCTCAATGTGATGTTTATATTATATAATCTTTATATCTTTCTCCATGAAGAAAACCCAACTGCTGATAAACTTCTTTCAGCAATTTATGAATTTGGTCCCAAAGCATTTAGTAAGGAGAAATGCTGCTTCTCTAACAGGTCGTTTCCTTTTTATTTCTTATTCAAAAACCTTTTTGTCAAGGTGATTGAAGAAATATCTTCACATAGACAATGGGTTTCTCTACCTTACTAACTTTTTCTCGGCAAGATGATGTTGTATCAATCAAAGGAGGTGCATTGCAAACAAATGTATGTGATGACTAAGGCACTATTAGCTGTTGAATACTAAAAACATTCAGTAGATTTAGACTTAGAAATTCAAACTGGCTAATGCAGAGCAGAACTGAGTTGGACTGCCTTTTGGTGCCATCTTCTCCTAGCTATTTTATGTTTAACTAAAGCTAGCGAGAATCCAGCATCTCCTGATCATCTTCATCCCCAACGTTTTGCTGACCATGCCTGTTTTGTATCTTTGCAAGCCATGAAAAAGATCTGGCTTTCCAAATCTCATAGTTGCTCTTTGGTCAGTTACCAAAAACAGTTCAGTCATGACATTATATTTATTCTATGCAAATTAACTGTAATGCTTTAGCCAAAGTATCTGAATGCTAACAAACTGAATGTGTACCGTAATTTAAATGCATTGAGTAGCATTGGGCTTTGTTTGCCTACATCAGATGAAAGGAACTTAATGCAGAAATAAATTGGCCTGGCACGTGGTAACAAAAATGACAGCATCTTGTTGCTGTAAGACATAATCTTTTAAATGGAACTACATATTTAGTTCAATCGCCCCAAATAAGCAAAATTGTTCACGTTGTTTTCTAAAACAGCTTATTATTTCATTGGCTCACATGCTTTCATCAGAATTAAAATACAGAAGGCTTACACTTGATGTACCTCATGCACAGGTATGCATTATTCAGGTTCTATTTTACCCACCTTGAGATTGTCCTTGAACAGTGTTGACTTAAGCAGCAAGATTCTGTTTTAGCATTAAGAACATTAAGAC